GGACCTTGCGATTCCTTCGAGCCCACACGGGGAATCCAGGGGTCTCTCGCCGTCTCGGCCTCCTTCACTCGACCGTAGCTGCGAAGTCCCTTTTCCACAGGAAGCGATGCGTGCACAGGTCTGGGAATTTGGAAGTGGGCACGTTTGGGCCCCGAGTCCGATGACAGTTACAAACCATGGTGCGTCCGCGTCCCAGCGCCCTGTGTCAATTTCTACACACATTAGCTCACTTAATTATTAAAGGAAGGCATCTTGTACTTTAATTAGACCAACCTCCTAAGAACACGGATTCTCGAACGTCTTCCCCTGGGACCCTGTGCTGGTTTGTAACCGTCACCTCTGTCCACCGAGCCTCTATTGCTCCAGACTCCACGTCTCCAGCCCAAAGCTCAGACGTTCCTCTTGCCTTGACGCTGTCCTTCCTGAAATGGAATCGCGCCCCTCCTCACGTCAAAATTGCATCGTTCCTCTCCCAGAGAACACAGACAAAGAAAAGTGCCAGATCGCGGCCGCCCATCCCCAGCTTCTGGCCCACAGCGTCCTCCCCCGTAGCCCTGGCAGCCCCAGACGATCTGCTCTTCTGAAGCTTCCCGCCCACTCATCCGGTTGAGGACTTCCCAGTGTGCAGCGTCCCCACCGCTATAAACGGGCCCTCGTCTTTGTTACCCATCTCTGCCCCAAAGCTCAGACGTTCCTCTTGCCTTGACGCTGTCCTTCCTGAAATGGAATCGCGCCCCTCCTCACGTCAAAATTGCATAGTTCCTCTCACAGAGAACACAGACAAAGAAAAGTGCCAGATCGCCGGCCGCCCGTCCCCAGCTTCCGGCCCACGGCGTCCCCCCCTTAGCCCTGGCAGCCCCAGACGATCTGCTCTTCTGAAGCTTCCCGCCCACTCATCCGGTTCACGACTTCCCAGTGTGCAGCGTCCCCACCGCTACAAACGGGCCCTCGTCTTTGCTACTCATCTCTGTAGCATTTTCCTAGCTGTTCCCGTGACTTCGGCTGATCGTGAGATAGTGCTGGAAAGAGCTAGAACGTGGCTTCGGAGGGACAGAAAGGCGGGTGTGATCTCGACTCAGCCACACGTTGTGGGACGAATCTGATACCTCGGTGAGTCGGACGCGTTGTCTCACCTGCAGAGCGGGGATGCCGACCCTGTCCTCCGAGTCTGCCGAGAACGAGGGTGTCACGGACCCCAGGGGGCAGGTCGCGTGCAGAGAGTCCGTGCGTGCCTACGTGTGTTCTTACGTCATGTCCGTGCGTGCCTACGTGTGTTCTTACGTCATGTCCGTGCGTGCCTATGTGTGTTCTTACGTCGTGTGTTCTTACGTCGCGTGTTCAGAGACGAGTTCGCTCTTTGCATTTTCTGAAGTAGGAAAGCTCAGCTGCTCTCTGCTCCTTTCTCCATATAAATGTGTTTCAGAAATTTTCTCCAAGGGTCCTGGAAGGACACTGAAGGCGGAGCTGAGACGTGGCTTCAACGCAGCGCCCCCCCGGGCTCTGGCTTTGGTTCCGTGTCCTGGACATGCCATCAACGTGACCTCTGAAGAGTAGTGGCAGCCAAGTTCTGCATCCATCCCCCATTCACACTGTCCCGGTTTAGATTTTCAATCTAATAGTCGATCATCCATTGTACCTTCAGAAAAGCAGAGCTCACGTTTACCGAAATCCCTGCCCCTTCTGATGGGGCAAAATGAACACAAGACAGAGCCATTTTTTGGAAATAGATGATTCAGGCGTCACTCAGGAAAACAGCGCCTCCCATGCGCTGGCTCGGGGTTAGGTGGCTAGCACGGTCGGAAGCAGGCAAGCTGCCCGCCTTCGGGCGGTTCCTCCCTGAGTGGAGAGGCAACTGGAACAGGCAAAAACAAAAGCGTGGAACAATCGGGAGTTATGAAAAGCACTGTGAAGAAGGGGCTGACACAGACACACAGACAGAAGGGGCGCCAGTCTGGGAAGGCCATAGACTTCGATAAAAAGGAGCCGGTGGACAGAGGGACCGCCCAGCAGAAGGAACGGCACACGCGAAGCTTCCGAAGCCTCCGTTATCTTTGTCGCTGGCGATGATGGCAGCTCGCCCTTTCCTAAGTAACTATCAGTGACTGAACAGGAAGTGCGATCACTTAGTGGAAGTGACGACTTCCCTCAAGACAGCCGAGGGGCACTGCAATGTCTTGTGATTCCCACAGGCATCGCTCCCGTGGAATTTAGATTTACGACTGAAGGGAGAAAAAACGTTTACATCAATTTCAAGAGGAAAAGGGGCGAAAAAAGAGCACTGCTTCTCTAGAAGGAAGTGTTCAGACCCAGGAATAGAAAGTGTTTGCAAATTTTAGTTCAATTTGGCCGCTGACATTGACCGACTTGCCCTCGGTGCTGGACTTTTCTGGTTGTAAATATGTAATCAATCCCTATTTAGACATAAAAGAAGCATTAAGCTTTTATTTCATCTTGCACTTAGGTTCTTTTTCTCGTCCCCAAATGTCAACCCCATGCTGGTACTTAGAACTGTAACGTAAGAAGTTGTTTTTTGGAATTGAGTTCACAGTATGAACCACAGTCGAATATAAATGCCATCTACAGAAAAATTGATCACAGGGAAACCATTAGAGCTGTGGAAGGCTAGTGTCGCTCTGTCATTTGATTAATAGAGAATGATTTAGTCTTTGGAAATTGCCCGAAAAGATTTTTAAAAATCCGAAAAGTGTTTGTTTGTTGAGTTCGGCATCGACCGATGCAGTTCGCACGGCATCGGTGAAAACAGCCGTGACTGTTGCTTTATGTTGCCCACGTGACAGAGACTGGGTTGTCAAGGTAATAGAAATTTCGGTTTCATTGTCGATATTTGCAGTTCGGTTTAACCAGGTGCATAAAACTCACGGAACCAGAACCGGCGGCAGTGTCCGTATGAGGCAGTGGCTTCTAAAGCCACGTCCTTCAGTAAAAGGGAAGAAGCACAGCAGTAGGAATAGCCACAACTCAGCGTGACGAGCTGAGCCCCGCAGCAGCCGGGGACGAGCGCGTCTCCCTCCGCTTCGTCCCAACTGAAGTCTCGCCGACTGGGTGAGCATAGTCAGACTCCAGTGGGGTCGGGGAGGCAAGGGGACGTGCCATAAAGCAACGTCAGACACCCCGTCACTCTTCCGGTGACGTGCAAGAGATTAAACAGCAACCGAGTCAAAGCTCCAAAGGAAATCGTTCCCATTTTCACAAGCGTCGCGGCAAGTTAAACATTATGCACGTTCGGCCTCACAAAGTCAAATCAGGTGCAAACACATCTTGCCGGGTAGTTTTCCCGTTGCCCGTGCTTTCCAGCTGAATTATTTCCCATCTCTCCGATTTCCTAAATCTTAAAAATAATGGTGTGGACTCAGACCTTTGAGAGGCAGCGTCTTGTCCTGGAGAAACATGAGACTGGACCCCGTTGTGGCTGAGCCCCTCGTCGTGGGGTGCGGCCGCCCCACCTGCGCTCCCGCTGCCTTGTTTGTCCAATTTCCCAGCTGGACCGAATCCACTGCTCTCGAAGGCCGGTCGTAACTCTGTCGTCTCTGACTCCCGCCACCTTTGTCCCAGACGACGTTAATTTCAGGGAGCCGAAAGCCACGGTTCAGATTTAGAGTAGACACCTGTCAGCGAGGTCACCCAGTCCGTGATGATGCCTCCCTTTTCCAGGTCCCCAGCAGCTCCGTTTACATTAAATGACGTGCGTCTTTCTTCCTATCTGGCCACCACCGACTGGTGCAATTAAGTCAGTCATCAGCCATCTCCTGGGGAGTTCCAGCCTGGACTCGCTCTGAACAGAGGCGGTTTCAAACCTCAGGGGCAGTCACGCCTCCTGCCACGTTCACGAAGAATGACAGAGGTGGCCACAGCAGGACAAGCACGCAGTGAGCAGCCCTGGGCGAGGCAGGGGCGGGGAGGGACCTGTTGGCTTTCTGCCCCTTTTCTCGTGCCTCTACCTGAGGTTGTGCGCATTGTGCCGTGAGTCCTAAGAGATGCCCCAAGGCCTTCTCGAGTCACAACCAACCGTGCTCAGAACATCCCGAGTCGGTCGTGCGACAGTCGGGAACCCGAACACGAGATTAAAAGGGGAAAGACCGCTGGAGGGGGCCCCTCTGCTAATGCGCGTAGGAGGTTTGCAGCCCGAATCCGTTCGACGTGCGCATCGATCGGCTGGGACGAGCCCTCTGTCTCTGAGCGTGGCAAGGTGAACAGCCTCGGCGGCAGTGATGAACACGTTACCGCCGGACAGGCGGCGGCCGTTATTAACGCGTGTTTGTCACAAAGATGTCCCCAAATGACCAACCTTTAAATGCATTTGCTTACACCGGTGAGAATTAACGCGCTATCTCAAATGACACAGAAATCTTTTCCACTCCTTCCATGCCGGTCACCCAGGACTTATGTCCCCTCTGGTGTCGATGGGCCATATATAGTGACTAATTACCATTCATTTGGGTCTTTGATTATCTTTTTAAAGCTCCAAGCCAACCGCCAGCCAACATTGCCTGGAAGCTGACCAACTCTAAATTGTGCCTGAACTGGGAGCATGTGAAAACCATGGAAAATGAGTCGGAGGTTCTGGGATACAAGGTGAGAATTTAACTTTTCCTTTAGTCACGTCCGTTAAGTTGCCGAAGGGCCAGAGATGTCGCGACGACACACAAAACTCATTAGATGCGTATGGAAATACACGCGTCTTCTTTTAAGTGTTTTGAAAATGATATCGCCGTTCTTAAATTCGTCACGGAAAAGATTTATATTCTGAGGTCAGTGATGTGTCCTGGAGCTTTAAGAAATAAAACTCTACAGTGTTTCGGTTTTCTCTTCAAACGATGGTGTTTACGCGGTTAGTAAACGTGCGACGAGGATGAGGGCGAAGGGCATGATTCAAACAGAATTTCTAGAACGCAGGCTGCAGCAGGATGTGCTCTTCTCACAACATCAAAGAAATCTCACGAGCCTGTAGCCAAACACGCAGAGCAGAGTGGCGTGGACACCATCTCCTGCCAAACGTGCGTCCTCGGGAATTTGAAATGGGTCCAAACTAACTGGTGACTTTGCACAGCAAGAGCCAGTGATACCAGCCTCGAGCTACTTAATGAATAGAGATAAATCTGCTCTCGTGTCAGAAGCGTTGGCCGAAAAGGAAATCTTCTTTCTTAGAGCTAAAGTTTTTTAAAAGGCCTAGACTGGGTGTTTCGCCCCAAGGAGTCTGCGATGTCCCTCAAGAGTCTCTGACCTTGAGGGAAGGGGCGTGACCTTTCGACTCGATTCCCTGTTTTGTTCAGATTCTGTACCGGCAGAACAGACAGAGTAAAACCCACGTTTTGGAGACGAACCACACGTCCGCCGAGCTCCTGGTCCCGCTGGAGGAGGACTACCTGGTCGAAATCAGGACGGTCAGCGATGGCGGAGACGGGAGCAGCAGCGAAGAAATCAGGATCCCCAAGGTGTCCAGTAAGTGAGCCGCTGCCTCCCTCCGGGGCTGGGGCTCTGGGTTGCACGGCCCGAGGGCTGGGTGCCGCCAAGCGTCCGAGTTTTGCTTAAATGTCGCGTGAAAATACAAAAGGTCTATGTTTCCATTTTCAATTGTGAGCAGGAGGTGACGAGTCAATTTTCCCTTAAATAATCCCTCAAATTTGCAACGTGTTTACATATCACAGACAGTTTTATGTTCCTTCATTTGAATCTCAGAAAACAAAAACAAAAAAACCTGTGCATCGTTTGTGCAGGATTCATTCTATTGGATGAAAATCAGAAAGTTTTCCATGGGCGCTGGTGGGCTTCTGAGAGCAGGGATGGCAAACACGAAGTTCGTCCCATCCCCGCGGCAGACCTCGCTCATCGCTCACAGCGTCCCCCCGAGCTGCGTCAGACCCCCGCGGGCAACTCCGGTTGGCGGGAATGATAGCAAAGCGTCTCCCCTTTGGGAGATCCCTCACTCGCCCCCCTGCAGCTCTGGCCAAGCGACAGTCATCAGCCACCGCTTCTTGGGCAATCCCGATCTGCCCTTTGGTCAAACGTGGCCAGTTTGGGCATTTTTCTTTTTTTTATTTTTACATGTAAACCAGATATCCTGGGACAGAGCATTAGAGGCACTTCCTAAGCTCAAACATAGTGTAGATGAAACAAATGTTCTAAAATATGTCACTAGGAGACCAATGAGAATTTGCATTGGGGTCATGGCGAATTAATCTAACAAGTAATTTGACTTTTCCTCGGGATATTTTCTTTTGTTTTTATATTTTGCAGGTCTGAGTTCCAGCGGAGGCCTGGTCTTAGCACAGAGCATCCATTTCCTGTCGGTCGTCATCATGATTTTTTACTGTTTTGTTACTCAGCTGCTTATCCGATGAGTATAAGCGTAAATCTTCGGGTGTTTTTTGAAAGCGAATCTTTCTGTAAATAGGCTCTCCAACCCCCACAAGATACATTCTTAATACAGACTTGTTTGGAAAGAAAAAAAGTATATTATTAAGATCTTGTAAATATCTATGGTACATTAATAAAATAATTTTAAACACTTTTGAATTTTAAAGTCTGCGCATGATTACAAACATTCAGAAGGTGCCAAATTAATCTGTGGAGTTTAACTGACTTACAGCCCTTGGCGATGATGATAAATATACAATAGGTTGCAGTTATAGCTAAAATATATTTTTTTAACTCGTTCTAGGCAATTTACTTCAGTATTAAAAATTGTCACCGTTTTGGAAATAAAATATAATTATTTGAGAAATAAAATATAATTATTTGAGAAATAAAATATAATTAGTTGATAGCTGAGACTCTTTAACAATGTAAGTTTTTCTGAAGCTGATGTGCTTCTATCTCTGAATCGAGTTGGGACGGGAAATATTCGTACCCAATAACGGAGTCTATATTCATGAGAATCTTCTCAACTCGGCTGTCTAGGAGTTTCGGTAATCATAGTGACAGAAAACGTGCTTATAGCAAAGAAAAAGGAGAGAAGGGAAATAAACACCCACTAAAATAATCTAACAAACAACTGGGATCTACAGGAAGCCATTTCTCATAGTAAAGTTTAACTTTTTAAAATCAATTGCGTATTCTCTTAAGAAAAATGTTGCAAGTCTCCGGTCATTATTACAAATTGTTAGCAATTTATGTGGCCTTATTTTTACAGAATAAATCAATCTGAGAACAGAATTATTTAACCAGGTTTTCAACGTTTCAGTCAAAATATTTCTTTGCCAATTTTCCTTCCAGCTGTAGAGATAACCCTGTACTTTCTGACGCTTAGAACGGGTTCTGTGGGTCGGCTTGTGTCTAAGGCGGCTCTCTCCCGTCGTGGACCCAGGTCCTGGGGTCACACGGCGTCAGCAGGTCACCGCGTGGCCAGTGTCATGCTTGTGGCAGCTTCGGGGGGCCGGTCCTGTCCCGTCACCAGGCTGCTCTAGCTCCCCGCCCTCGGGTTCGATGTCCTCGGGGTGAGACACGGTCACACTCCTTTGCCATCTTAACGTGGGGCGACCTCGTAATTGTGTTGAAGATATTCGCTCTCTCCTTATATCACACAATCCTCAAAACGGGATTTGGTTTTTTTAATTCCTATAGTATCTAGAGCTGTTTCGATGCCTGGCTAGGTCAGCGGCAGAGGGACAGCCGTTCCTCGTTCTGGAAGAGTGTGTCCAGCACGGGAGACACCCAGAGGGGCCTCAGTCCCCCTCAAGGTGAGACCCGACTGTGTCGTGGAGCGAAGCAGATAAGCAATGCGGGACGTCGTTTGGCGCCTCCCCTAACAGCGCCCAGTTGCCGGTGCGAAACACACCGCATGGCCCCGACACCAGGCCGGCGCGTGGCCCCCGGATCTGCTCCGCCTGGCGAGAGGCGGGACCTGTGTCCTGCCCGAGCGGAGGCTGAGGGTTAACGGGACTGTGGGACTCTCGTTTCCACTGCGTGGGGAGTCAGCTCCGCGGCCGTTCGTGGGTGAGCCCAAAAGCCGAGCCAGCTCCCGTCAGAGCTTCAATTCACAGCCGCTTGAGGATCGAAAGACTAGAAGGTCCATATCCAACCGAGCCTTTACATTCCCATCAATCCGCATAAAGCTTTCCGAATACGATTCGGCACGAATGTTCAACCGCACGGGCTTTGGCTCTCGGTCGACTCGAATCTCTACTCTCTGTGAGGCCTCGGACGCATCTGGTGACACCCCACATCGCTGTCCTCAGGGTCAGAGGACACTGGTCTTTAGCACGGTTCACAGGACACTGTGAAATGTGGACAGACAGCTCTCGCTGCGAACCAACCTAACGAACGTTACTAGACGCCCCTAAACGTCCGACGGGCTGAAAACCAGATTCGGCCTGTGCTTACGTCAAAACCCAAGACCACGGCAAGGAAGACGCGGCCCCTCACTCCTGACACCAAACAGCGCTGAGGATTAGGGCCCGTGGCGGCTCCAGCGGTCCGTCTGGGGAGAGGGGTCCGTGCCAGGGCCACGCAAACCTGGCATTTAGGGACGATTCCTAGCGATCCTTCTGTCGACCGAGCACGTGGCTGTCATAAACTCTTTTCCATTCTTCTTAGAGGAGAGAGGGAAAATGGTATCGCACCTGGAAACAGGTGGGGAGGGAAAAGGGATAAGCGTTAGGACACGTGACAAAGGGACGTAGGACGCTTTGTAGAACGCTATAGGCGTCTGGGTAATGCCGACCTCAAATTCAGCTGCGTTGTCTCTCTCCTCTGCTTCACTGTCGCCCGTCCAGGCCAGTGTCCCTCTCTAACCATGCCCCAGACGGTGGCTTTCAGGGGGCGTGCCTGCTCTCTTTATCGGCACATGCGACCGTGAGATGACCCGGAGTCCATTCTGAGAGCAAACGCAGCGACAGAATCGCTTCCCCCCATCGCGGAATCTGCTGTGTCTCAGCCTTTCCGCCTCATCGGTCTGTACGCCATCGCGGGATGCGGAGTTGCACACCCTCCCCACGGGCCATAATTATTCCTGCATTTGCTGTGGAACCAAGTATTCGATTCCACGGAGATCTCTCTAGAATGCGCCATGCAGCACGTGAGAGAGCGATTAAGAGGCCTGGACCTGCAGTTCGGAGGGTAAACTCCCGGAGCCAGGAGAGCAGGGAGGAGTTCGGGCCCGGGGTGGACCCCGTGACCCAGGGTGAGCCCGGAGAAGCCTGGGGTCGCCAGCGGGGACGGGAGGCGGGCGAGAGGACCCGTTCCCGCAGGGGACCTTTACTTCGTCCAGGCCTCGGTGACTTGGCCGCGGTCCACCTGCGTCCCTCGGCCAGCCTTTTCAAATGTCCACCCCACCCCTCCCCGGAACACCCGGAGACACACTGCACATGTCGTGTCACGGGCCATCTGGGACCCCCCGGTGGCCCAGCCCAGTGGACACAAACGACCATCCTAGACCTCGTTTTGAGGATTTTAAATAGTTCATTTCTAATTCCATTGCTTTTGCAATGGAATTCGTGAAACGTCCTCCTCGGTTACTCACCCGTAAACAGAACGCTGGGCTTCCAGCACCCCCGACCCCCCTTCGAGGCCTGCGAGGCCACATCGAGCTGCAGAGGGGACCTACTCTCGGTGCAAAACAGTGTTTACAATTCACGGCCCACACGCACGCTGCCGGCTTTCCAACTTGCCCTCCACACTTTCAGCAGCCTCAATGATGGTGCTGAGCCTCCTCGGTCGGGCCTGATGCTACCGAAACCTCAACTGACTCGAGTCCGCCTTGCCAAAGAGCTAGGGGCCCTCAGGGGTGCTGGCTGGCGCCACGCCCACGGACAAGGACAGCCCACACGTCTAGCGGCGCCAAGTACAAGGCTGTGACGAAGTTCTCGCTGTTCGGTGAAAACATGAGAAACAGTCAGACAGTGTGGTGAGATTGTAACCATGAATAATTGATGAAATATGTGGGAGATTATGGCTTTCTTCTCATTTTTTTTTTTGTGGTAAAAAATGTCCATTCTTGGATGAAACGGTGTTGACTAGTTCGACTGTTTACTGTTTCTGTTTGATTTTAAAATATTCTTACTTGGCAGAGAGCAGGTTACTTTGTATAAATCAATTCAATTATTATTCGTATTTAAAACTTTTACCTTCCGAGAAAGTCAAAAGTCTTAAAATTACCAGTGTTTAGCTTTTTTTAAGACTTTTTATTATTTTATCTCATGACCATCGAATTGGTACGTTTGACTTTGAGGCTCCTCGAGGACGTTTTGTCAAGGTCTTACTCTGTGTGCTGTGGACACCAGCATTTGCGTTCCTCGGAATTGTTCACGTGCCTCGACGCAGCCACGTGTGCAGGAAGTCTGGTCCACCTGTTGTCTCGAGCTATACGATAACAATGAACAAAGAAGATGAAAACCTGAATTTTTTTATCATCTTAAAATTTGGAGATTATTTGCTTTCTGTTTTTTCATATTAAATTTGTTTTCTATCATGAAATTACATCAGTAGCTATTGGACTTTCTTTCACGTCTTTATAGAAAAAAATTTTTGTAAAAAAGCAAATTTGCTTCCCCCTTTATTTTTAATATTCGTGTTCCTGACATGCTAGACACAGTCCTGGGCAGAGAAAATGATACTTAAAACCCATATTTTGCTTTCTGAGCTGGTTTATACAGCCAACTGTTGGGGTGATTTGTTTTCCTTTATTTCTTCAGGAAAATAAGTATTTTTCTTTTATAAGCATGACTAAAATAATAAGCGAACCTAACCTCCAGATTTCAGTGGATAAATATCTTTTTGAAATAAATTTAAAAAGTAATATGAAATAAATTAGTTCTTCAGAAAAACATCCGAAATCCTAAATTCTTTTCCTATTTTCAAAGACGCGTACTTTACAGTCTGGTCAGGTATACCTTAGACGATGCCTATTTTGTCCAGGGTGAGATCAGGCCAGAAGCAAATCTGACAACTCTTTAAATACAGGTAGCGAGTTGCAGCTCAGTGGGAAAGAAAAGAAATGTTGATTCACGCGCCCCTCGAAGACTCAGAAGTACGCCAGGCTGTGTCCTTGCAGATTTGTCACTTGTTCCTGAAAGTGAATGCTATATTGGGTAGGGACCTCTCCGTGAACAGTGATTAATTAATGTCTGTAAATTACTTTGTAGATGAAAAGCGTTTCATAAGTTCAATAATTTTTATTATGATGATTTTTTTTTCCCCCGCAGAAGTATATTGACTTTTTGCAATGGCACTTTGAAAAAGCATGCATTAGTGATTAAGGCAGTGCCTCATGCCCGGAGGAAAGCAGTAATTAGACAATTTAAAAGGTAATAATTTTGAGGTACTGAAAATGTAGGAGAATTCGTAATTGAGCCTGTCGGAACTAAGTAAGTGTAATTCAAACTCCAGGCCGTCTATATCTATC